GTCTTCCAGTGTGATGGGTTCAAAGACAAAATTAAATATGGAAAAACGAGTGACTTTGAGCTGAATTTATTTACACTGAGAAATTATATTAACATTTTGGTATTAAATTCTAGTTATGTAAGAAATATGGCAATATAAACAGACTTCTGATAGATGCAGAAATAAAGGGAGCTATTGATTCAATAAATATAATACCCACTGTGTGCAAGGTAACCTAATCATGCCTTTCATACTCATTGAAATGTTCAAACTTGAAAAAAAAGAACGGCTAGCAGTAGTTACCAAATAAGAACAGCCACAGAAACACAAAGTCTGAATTTATCTGGGTTGTTGCATGATTCATCTTGACAAACCAGGAGTCAAAGTAAATCTCAATTCTGGAAGTTACACGGTAGAACTGTATCAGAATAGGTTATCACTAAAAGTCCACGAGGCTGGGCCATCCCAGAACTCAGAATCAGTTCCCCGGTTTAATTTTTATAAGGCCTTTGTGATTTACTCCAATACTGAAAACATTTCATAGGTTGGCTTTTGTTTCTCGTGCATACTATGCACTTGTAAAGAGGACCCTTTTGCCTTACAATATTGTTTAAAAATGTCCATGAAGATTTCTAGTTTGGATTCTGGAAAACTTGAAAAATGTGTGTGCATGCTTTGTCTTACAACTCCAGATAAAATGTTGAGTGCATAATCTAGCAGAGATTAGAGGAGGAAAGGTTGGATTAAATAGACAAACTCGTTTCATGTTTTCCAAGCTTTCAACAGTAGAGTTGGAATACGAACACAGCTATGTGCAAACCCTTTTATCTGTGAGCTGGGATTTTCCTTATTGGTCTGGAGATGCTTTTGGACAACAGAGATGTAATAGGAGCCATTCATGTAATTTAAAAATTTTTAGCAGCCACATTATAGAGAGAAATAGATGAGATGAATTCTAATAATTTATTTTGCTTGGCCCAGTATATTGAAAACTTCAACATGTAGTTGATGTAAAACAATATGAAATATTTTACATCCTTTTTTCATGCAAAGTCCTCCAAATCAGGTGTGTATGTGACATTTAAACACGTCTCAGTTGGGACTAGAAAAATGCCCGGTGCTCCTTGGCTCTGATGACGCTTGTCCTGTACGTCAGCAAGGCTGGAATGTGGTTCTCTGAATATGAAACTGCCTCTAACTTAATAACCGACCTGGACATTTCGCTTCTGATTTGAAATTGCCGCCATTTGATAATTTAGTTGTCATGGAAACTGAAGACCCTTCTTCATCCCTTCACCCCGCAGTGTGCTTCCTGGGTGTGCTTCAACCTAAGGGCAGATTAAAGAATAGGATTCTTCCGGAGAACTGCAGTGTAGATTTAAGAAGGGAGTGAGTTGGAAGTTTGAGAGGTGTGGTGAAATTAATGGGTGTGATGAGGGGAAAGACTGCCAATCAATCCTGAGGCTGTGTTTTCTGTGTATTATTTTTCGGTATTCAATTAAGCCTGAGTCAGCCATCCAAGGAGAAAGCCACTTTAAATTCTAGACAAGAGTGAACAGAAGCCCGTCAGTGATTTAAGTCGGTGTTAACAGGGTGCCTTCAAGAGCGGTCCTTCAGGCATGTGGGTGGGGGCACTGGGGATATGTTTCATGTCACAGGCCTGGGCCGAGGGGAGGGAGATTGATACAGTGTCACTGAGTCAAGGAAAATATGAGCAAATTTGATTTTTCTTGGAAGAAATGTAGAATGATCAGGGAATTTGCTTTTGAAATTAGGAACTGGGAATATCATTTTGTGGAAATTATATAATGTTTAAGTGAAAAGTACGATCGCAAACGGTGGAGGTGAAAGGGCTAAAACATGAAATGCAGTAACAGGTTGAAGTAGGTGGGAGCCGAGGAGTCCTTGGTGTCTCTCTCCATAGGAGCTGCTATGTGACGAAAGCCCTTGGTTTGACCTGGACCCGGGAAGGTACGTTTTGGGGGGAAGATAACCCTGAACAAGGCTGGCACTCTGCTGTGCGGAGAACTGGGCTTGCTTGTCTACTAATGAGTGCTAGCGAATGGCCAAACAAAATAAGAAGGTCCCTTACGCACTCAAGTTGCTTAATGTGATAGGGGCTTCTTTAATTATTGGGTTGTAAATTGTGGCCTTTTCGTATTACATACATATGTGATTGATTTCTACCAGTAAAACCCCCTTCATTGCTTAATGGAACTAAACACACCGACGTAGGATAGTTTGCAGGTGAAAGAATGTGACTTCCGGGCTCTGAGCTTCGTGAGCCAGCTGCTACGAGACCTAAACGTGGAGGGGAGGGCATGGGCTCGCGCGAGGACGAATATGGTCAGAACCTGGGCTTAAACACAGTCCGGAGCTGTTTGTCCCCATGCTGAAGTCGCTCAAGTCAAGGCCGGGTGGCCCCCTGCTGGAAGCAGCTTGGAAAGGATTAGGTTTCTTTCACCACTGATTCCGTCAGGTCCTCCTGCTGCTTTGCCCACAGCAGCTTTCAGTTGCTCCTCCACGCCAGGCGCCCGGCCAGCAGTGCAGCTGTGTGCCAGCTTACTACCGAAGGCGGCACGCTCCATCTTGAGGGGCGTCAGAGTGTTCCAGAAAGCTTGTTGAAAGGACCCAGGGGCTGGTTGCCATCCTCATAATGCCTGCTGGAGCGCTTTCCAGGGAGGCCTGGAGTCTGCATTTCTAGCCAGATCCAGGCACAGGTTCTGGGGCTTTACTCTCTGCATAGCCCTGGTTCAAGGCAGTGTTTCCTCAAAGTAATTGGTCTGAGACATGACTGGGGAGGGGGTTGCTATTGGCTCCTAATGGGTGGCAGCCAGGGATACCATGAAAAGTCCTGTGATGTACAGGGACAGCCCCGGGACCGAGAATCAGCCACTGGTGCTGGCATTGGCAAACTCCCGTCTGAGGGAGCCATAGAAAGGCAAGCGTTTCTGATGAGCTGTGAAGAGTGTTGTGGTTGGCTGTCACAAGGGCAGTTGAGAGGCTGCACCAGTCCTGACTTAATCTCGGAGGCGGTCTGACATGCAGCAGCAGGACTCTTTGCTGTTCTGACTGCCATACAGCAGGCGGATTCCACAAGGAGACTGCCTGGGAGGGCCGGGTGCAGTTTCACAGCTTAAGTGTCATCCGATAGCTTTTTAAGAGGGTAGAATTATGCCAGGGGCATTCTAGCCCAAGGGAACGAAGTAAGCTGAGCAAAGAGGGAACTGCAAGTCAGCCCATGTGCCTGGAATAGGATAGAGACCTGGAGAAACTGGGTGGTCACATTTGCAGGGCCGCTAATGAAAGCCACTCTCAGAAGGGTGACCTTTACCCTGAGGGTAGCAGCTGTGTCAGGCCCATCAGGAATTAGGCCTGCTTATGTTTTGTTGGGCGTCTGGGGGTTCTGCTGGGTACAGCTTCATCATCTTGACAGGGGTCCCAGCCCACGTGTACAGGACATGAGGCCGACAGCACCTCCTGCCCCCAGGCCAGGCCCCGATGGCTGTTGATGGGACCTGAAAGCCTCCATCCTGGGGCTTTACTGATTAATTATTCAGGGTTCGCAAGACTTTTCTATCCCTCCATCCAGGGTCTGCGTGTTGCACACACACAGAGCAATTCCATGAGAAGCAAGGTGTGCCTTTTACACTGCACAGCTCACATTGGCGTGTTTGGTGAGGGGTGACTCATGAGCTGCCCATTGACTTTTGCATCAAAGCCTCATTGGAAATTCTGTCTCCCTCTAAGCTGAGGGAGTTGCTGATTCACGTGCCATAAGGATTGATTGCATACTCCCTGAGTCCTAACACAGGATCATTCCATGTTTTAAAAATGTTTAGTTTCCATACCTGTTTTAATATATATACTCAGCTAAGAACATGTAAAGGGTACTAAAGGTTATATGATGAAAAGGAAGACTTTCTTCCTTAACCTCAGTTTTTCCTCTTAGGACATCTCAGAAACTCCTATCATCAGTTTCTTGTGTATTTTCCATGCAGATGTTTTGCCTTCATGTAATTCATATGAACACATAACACATATGGACGAATATTCTGCCATCTGAAAAGGAAAACCCTCTCAAATCTGTCCTGAAGTAGGCCTTCTTGCCCTGGTTTTATAGGTGAGCCCATGAGTGGTGCATGGAGTAAATGGCAGCACCAGGACATAGACCCAGAGTTCCAGTTCGGAGCAGAACTGACCCAAAGTACCAGGGGAGGCCAATGATTGGTCCTCCAGGGAGTTGGTACTGGGTCACTGATGTAGATAAGGGCAGAGGCCTCAGAGGAACAGCTGTGTCCCTGCTGTGAGTCCCTGCTGTGTCCCCACTCCCACTTCACCTCTGGTCCCAGAGTGTACAGCCAGACCCTGCCTCCTCCAGGGCTGGCACCTGAGTTGCTTATTTTGACTTCCTGTCGGTGCTGAGTACCATGTGGCTTGGCATCCCAGCGTGACCCATGGCTTTACTGTCCCAGGTGCTAGGGAGCTGCCAGCCCTCTATTGATGCCACACACCCTTTGGTAGAGATCGGAGCCATTGCACACAGGGAGCGCAGCAGACCCATCCCAAGCCACCTGACATTCAAGGCCCTGGGGCCAGCAGTAGTGAGGATCCTCAGAGCGTCTCACACCGCCGGCCCTGCCTCGTAGAGTAGCCGTGACTGTCAAGGTTATCCTGGATGAAGTGGGTTGCTGCAGTCTCAGGGGGAGCCCTCAGTACAGTTGGCAGGTTGGGAAGGAGGAACTGGGGCCACCAGGACTTGGGGTTGTAGCATCTTTGTAGCCAAGGCTTTGTCCCAGGGTGTGTGCTCAGGAGCCTTAAGGCAGGGCGTACATCCTATGTAGTGCTGTCCAGCCAGAAGTGCTAAAAGCCACACTCGCCTATGGAGGAGGGCTGGCTGGGGTCCTAACTGGTCTCAGGCTGTATCTGTTTAGGGTGAGAGCTTAGAATTTTGATTCCTGGTGCTAATAGAGCAGAGTGTGCTGCGTGACTTGTGCATTTATCATATCCTTTCTTGCCAGGTAACAAGGAGGGAACACATTCTTCTACCTGTTGGGTGTTGCTGAGCATCCTTCTGGGAGCAGTGGCCATGCTGTGCAAGGAGCAAGGGATCACGGTGCTGGTAAGAGCCACACACAGCCAGGCCCTCCTGTTCCTCCATCCTGACATTGTGGGCCAGCCCGGCCTCTACTTCCACACCCCTGTGCAGGACTGGGGTCAGTGAACTTCCTTGGCCAATGGCCTGTGCTATCACGATTCAGATGGGGAGCTGACTGTCGCTGTTGACCATCATTAACTCCTGGCAGGCAGTGATGGTGAGAAGTTCTTGGGGAACAGTGATAGATCTCTGCAAGGATCTTCATTTGTTCCTTTGTCTTCTGCCTCTTCCATTAGACTTGTTTCATGGGGCCAGGAACTATGCCTTCTGGGGTCTCCGAGGAGTAAACCAGTATTCACAGAGTAGATTCCCAATGAGTCTTCAGTGAATGGGAGACGCAGTCTATGAAAGAACAGGAAGTGACCTCAGATAGACGCCAGTGAGTTTAAAGAAGTACTGAGCATGTCCCATCATGCTCAGCTTCCACAGGCACACATGGACCCCTCCTACTCTGGTCTGGTCTCAACAGTGTCTGGGGTGAAATTCCAGGAAAGAGACATCGAGATCTTTTTTTCTTTCTTTCTTTCTTTCTTTCTTTCTTTTTGTTGTTGTTGTTGTTGTTGTTGTTGCTCTAGCCAACTTTTGGCTTTTCATGATTAGAGGAAACTTTAGAAATGAAGTGAAGGATATGAGCAGAGAAAAAGAAATGGAAAGCAAAACACTGGGATTTGAGTGACCGTATAGGAATAGCTTGGGAGAGAAAGAGCCGTCAAAGCTCTTTGGGGGTTGACACAAATTAAGGCAAGAATTAGCAGTTTTGTCATGCTTTATCTGTAAGATTAAGGCTAGCTAGCCAGGAAAGGGCCATGAAAGAATTACAGCGGAAAGGCACTTGGGTCTCCTGAGTTACTTCTTCATTGAGTTTACTGTGAACCAGAGTTTCTTAACTTTGGCATTATGACATTTTTGACCAAATACCTCATTCCATTCTTGTGGGATCCATTTAGCAGCATCCCTGGCCTCTGCCTCCTGGGTGCCAATAGGACTCCATGAGTCATGACAGCATGAATGCCTGCAAACCTTGCTAGGCACCCTGGGAGCCGAGTGACCCCATTGAAGCCCACTGCTCCAAAATACTCCTCTCGTAAAGGATGGTTTGAGGATCAAGAGGATTCAGGATCTCAGTCCCCACCCCAGCTCTGCTGAGTCAGAGTCCCCACTTGACCAGGTCCTCAGGCAAGTCCTGTACACATTAGTGTTTAGGTGCACTAAAGATGAAGTTAAATTTACATGAATGAAGTGTGGACATTGTGGTGCTGCCATTAAGTGGGGTGGAGGAAGGAATACAATTGACTCAGTGTTGGTAACCGCACGACTCTCACCGCTTGGTGACTGTCCCTCAGCTCCTAGTCAGGAAGACATCATGAGAAAGCAGAGGCAGCTAAACAGGGAATTCCTGCCTTCTGGAAAATGGTTTTACACCCAGGCAGAGACAGCCTTCCGTGACTCACTGTGATCACGTATCACATGAGTGAATGAAATCGGGATTCTTCGAAATGTTTAACCCGGCACTGGCCCGTGTATCAGATAATTAGTGGAGGCAGTGTTACGGGACGAGGTCAAGTAGGGATGTCATGCTTGCTCTGAAAACCACAAATTACTGCTGACTTCAGATGATTTATGGTCTTTTCCACAAGTCCCCGTATTAAGAAGACCCAGTCATATAAGGGCATCTTTGACCATAAACATTCAGTAAATTCAGACCCACTTTATCTAGACTGGGCGGGAAGTTCAGCCAGGTGACATTGCCTGTACAGCAGTGTAAGTAGAAAAGCCACCTCAGACCCTCTCCTCCTCAGCCTGTAACGGCAGATTTAACAGCTGCCTAAGCAGCCCCTCCCCACCAGGAAGAAATGCGGTGCAGACGGAAGCTGTGAGCATCCGCAGGGCCCCAGTGCCACACTCCTGGTGCCTTCACAGAGCTGGTATCATTTGCTGTTCACCGAAGAGTCATCAGCAGTTCTTCAGGTGATGGGTGGCCATCTCCACACGGCAGACCCAGCCGACGGAGGCCATGCCAGTTTCAATGTGGTTTCCAGAGTGGCCCAGCCTCTCCATCCCAGCAAGATAGAAAGGGAAACTGAAAGCGGCCAGCCGTTACCCAGTGGTGTGCACGGCTTCTCCCCATGCTCCACAGGCTGAGCTAGGAGCGCAGGTTTCCCTGACTGGGGGCTGCTGGGAGGAGGGGTCCAGCTGTGTGTCCAGGAAGAGCAGGACCCTGGTCCCAGGGCCTGGGCTAGAGGGCTCTCCTGAGCCTCTTCAGAGACTCGGTGGGCTCCACCCTGTTCACTGTGCCCAGAGCAGCCCGCTCGGGCCACTCACGGCTGGGCAGGTGACTTGAGTCTCTCCTTCTTGGGCAGTTACTGTGCAGGAATATGCCCACCCTGTTATGTGAAGTAAGGGACTGTTTCATGGTTAGGAAAAGGAAAAAAGAAGTAAGTGGGACCGCTGGGAGCTTTTCCTAGGAAACCTCAAGTTTTAGCTATTCTGAATCATGTAATACTTTTAAATGCACAACATGAAAGCATTCCTGACAGGGATTTACTAATAACTGTGATGTAATATATTGCCTTGAGCTAATTTCACACAGACGGGGCGGGGGTTCTTTCAGGATCGAAGTAGCCCTCTGTGATTATCTAAACCTTGGCACTCCTCGCCTAGATTCAGTTGTCAGAGTGTAACCTCTGTGTGGCTTGGCTTCCTTAGGGTTTGAATGCGGTATTTGACATCTTGGTGATAGGCAAATTCAGTGTTCTGGAAGTCATCCAGAAGGTGCTGCGTAAGGACAAGTCGTTAGAGGTGAGTATGTACTTTTGTCTCCAGCCCAGACGTGGAAAATGTCAAGTACCTACTGATTTCAAATGCCATTTTCCAAGTGGTTCTTGTGATTTCGAATTCTAATGTCGCCAGCCCTTTAACGCAGTGTCAAAGTCATCCAGGCAGAATTGTTCCCTTTGGTGCCTGGCCTGGTCACACTTTGACTTGACAATCAAAGGCGACAGCGGGGGCTTTGCTGTGTCCTTTCAGAATTCGGGTGTGCTCCGGAGCGGGGGCCTCCTCTTCCGAGTGACCCTTCTCACCTCGGGCGGGGCCGGCATGCTCTACATGCGTTGGAAAATCATGGGGACCGGCCCACCGGCATTCACGGAGGTGGACAACCCGGCTTCCTTTGCCGACAGCGTGTTGGTGAGGGTGAGTCTGCGCCCGCAGCCCCGTGGCGGGGAGTCCTGGGAGGTGCGATTCGCGCCGGGACACTTGACCTTGGCGCGTGCGGGGAGTGGTTCCAGCACTGCCGTGGACGCCGGATCCACAGACCCACGTCCTTTGTGTCAGGTGGCAGCGCATGTGCACGCTATACGCACCCTCTGTGCTCCCTGGCGCACCCCAGCTCAAGTGGAACACCTGAGCCGATGCCTTCACGTGACCCTTCCTGGGCATTCGCTGCAGTGCCCCGTGCACCCCAAATTCAAGTTTCACCTTGTGGAATTTTTCTGGAACTTTTCCCCCAGACATTTTTTACTCCATGCTTAAATGAATCTGCAGAAGCAGAAACTACAAATGCGCAGATGCACCGGTATTCCCTTTGTAAGGGAAGGGAAGAAGCCTGGTTCCTGCTGCCTTCAGGTTCCTTACCAGACTTGTCGAAATGCCAGAGCCCTGGGCGGCCGGATCTTGACACGTGCATGATTGGTCGGTAGTAGCTTTACAGGTCCAGCCGTGTCAGGGCTGTTTTTTGAGTTTTGCTCATTTTTCTGGAGGCAGTTGTACCAAGGCACACGTTCCCGGTGGTGCACATCGTAGAGACGGGGGCGGAGCCTGAGAGTTCCCAGATCTCAGGCTCCGGGCATGGGGAGGTAAATGCATCACAGCTTGGCCGGAAATGTAACAGATGCACACTGCCTGCTCTGCTGGCATGGCTGTATTTTTTAGCAATGTATTAAAATCTGATTTTTATTTAATAAGTTACAGTTTGTTCCATGCTCCTTCTTAACTGCAGGCTGGCGATATTTTATTTCTTGCTACCCATGAACAGAGCCCTCAACAGTGAAGTTCGGGTATATATATATGTTCTCCCAAGTTCAGTATCAAATAAGTGTTTGTTTTCCTTTTGACTGACAGGCCATAAACTATAATTACTACTATTCATTGAATGCCTGGCTGCTGCTGTGTCCCTGGTGGCTGTGTTTTGATTGGTCCATGGGCTGCATCCCCCTCATTAAGTCAGTCGGTGACTGGAGGGTAATTGCCCTGGCAGCACTCTGGCTCTGTCTAATTGGCCTAATATGCCAAGCCCTGTGCTCTGAGGACAGCCGCAAGAGAAGGTAAGAGGCGGTGCTGAATTTTAACTTCCATCCCAGAAGCATTTGCTAAATGCGGCACTGGTCTTTTTAACAGTTCTGTGGATATGGTGATAAGGACATAGATTCGGATCCGTCTTAGTGGTGAGGGTGGCTCCACGCCCTTGGAATCTGGTCTGCCTTCAGCTAGTGAGAAGGGGAGTTGGCAGAGAGGGGGTGACTGCTCCATCTCCCCCGCCCTGCCGCCCAGTAGTGCTCGGAGATCCTTTCTCCGTAGGTGGTGAAGAGTAATTTATGGTCAGAATAGAGTATAAGTGGTGTGTGTTGTGTCCCTTATTTTACAGTTCTTTAAAAAAAACCCTTGTGAATGCTATGGTGATTCCTTTCTTTGTTATTGGGTACAAAACAAGCTCCTGTCCCAAAGAGACTATTTCTCCACTGTAAAAAACAAATTTCTAAAAGTTGAGGGAATAATTGGGAAAAATAAATGTGTTTCATGAAAATGAAAACCATTTAAGGTAATTTCCCTTTAACATAAACGTTCATGGAATTAGATTAGTGATTATTCCCAAGTTTTAAGTTCACCTGCATCTTTATTTGGTTAGCATTTCTAAAGATGCAAAAACTTTACTCACAGTCAATTTATGTATATGTGAGGTGGGATTTTTTTTGGTACTGGGGATGATTGAACTCGGGTCCTTGTGCTTGTGAGGCAGGCAGCGGAACCACTGAGCTAAATCCCCAACCCTGAAGTGGGATTTTAAAAACACACACACCCTAGCGCAGAATGTAGGAGGGAGCTACCCAAAGGCCCGGCCTCTTCACCTGTCATGATTGAGGGGCATCAGGAGTCCTCTCCTGGCTCAAAAAGAGCTTTCATGTTCAGCTTTCTTTGTGCTTGACTGGTGGGGATGTAGCATCAAAAACGACGTTAGTTTCTCTTTCAGATTTTAGGAAGTTTAAACCACCTCAGTAGTAATAGTCTTCAGTTTGGGGGGAAATTTTCTCGTGACCTGTTTGGGACCACTTCAGAACCTAAATGGTTTGAGGCATAGAAAGGAACAGGTAAATTCTAAGGCCTCACGAGTATAGCTGTTTGGACTTCATTGGTGTGAACTGTGTGATCTGTAAGTTTACCTTCATGCTCGACAGTAAGTTCCTAAGTAAGTAACTTAGTAGTATGTTATGTGGTATTTTACCGTAAACCGCCCACTAAACTCTCTCTTGGTGAATTTTTTTCCCCTGACAGTGGGACCTTTTCTCAGGTGATGGCATGAACAAAAGCCAGGTCTTTATCATTGACTTAGTGTTGGTAGGGTGCCCTTCTTGCGAAGTCTGAAGGCAGCCATCTCTCTAAGCATTTTCGCCTTCCAGGATCCTTACTCTGGGCCTGGGATTTCTTGTGATCCCATTTCTGCCTGCGAGCAACCTGTTCTTCCGTGTGGGCTTCGTGGTGGCAGAACGTGTCCTCTACCTGCCCAGCATCGGCTACTGTGTCCTGCTGACCTTCGGCTTCGGGGCCCTCAGCAGACAAACTAAGAAAAAGGTATCTGCCCTGCAGCGCCGTGCCCGCAGCACAGCCTCGTGCAGGGCACTCGTGACGCTTGTCTCTCTCCTAAGAAACTCATCTCCGCCTGCATCCTGGGCATCTTACTCATCAACGCGCTGAGGTGTGTGATCCGCAGCGGCGAGTGGAGGAACGAAGACCAGCTTTTTAGAAGCGCCCTGTCTGTGTGTCCCCTCAACGCTAAGGTACCTTGGCTGCTACATTCCTTTCACAGAGACGTTGCCAGAAAATATTTAAAGTCTCCCAGCTGGGGAGGAGGAATGGTTGGCGGGGGACAGTAGGTATCATAAGACCATGACTAGACAGGGTAGTTGGTTTTTCCTCTGTCATTGTTGTCATTTCTTTAAAGATTTTTGTAAGAGTCGTTAGAATTCAACTTAGCCAAAATGATTCAGAAGAAATCATGAAAACCTGACCACATCAGCCAAGATTACTCCAAGGAAGCATCTTCATCCTATAGTTGCCGTGACCACCCATGCATTGGGCGGGCTGCCTTCAGCCGAGGCCCAGACCCTAGCCCCATGGGACACACTACAGCTTCGACTGCCGCTAGCAGGCCGGAGCCGCCCCGGGCTGGGATGGAAAGGTGGTTATGCCTACAGCAGCCCTCGTGTGGGCCCAGAAGCTTCGACGACGCTGCACAGTAGTATACATTTCTGTAACTCTGGGTCCGCTGCTGGTGACTCCTTTTTTCAGCTTAGGTAAACATAAACATATAGATTTTAAGGTTGGCAGTGCTTTTTGTTGAAGATGTTGGGAAGGAATTTATCCGTGTGTGTTTTGCTCATTTGTTATTGCAACAGACTTGTATTTTTGCTGAGTCCAAGCTTTTTACTTAACTAAGCTATGTCTCTGGGCAGAACTAAGCTTTTTGAACTTCCAGGTGCCCCTTTTTCTGAGAATGGGAGAATACCTGTCCTCCGAGCTGGTTGTGAGGGCTGAAAGAACTGAGACACCTTCATACATTCAGCACACAGTTGGTGCTCAAGAAGTGTTAGCTGGCAGAGGTTCATTTTAGTTTTGATTTCAAGTTAAGTGGCAGGAAGGGAAGTCTGTGTGTTTAAAGCAGGGGTCCAGGCCTTAGGTTAGAAGACTCCTGTGCTGGTGTAGACTCTCACTGTTAGCCGAGGTCACTTTCTCTTAGGTCATCCCCTTGGAGCTGCCTGGGATGCTTCCGTGTAACCGTCATGTGGGGAGATCTCTGTGGTTTGTCTCATTTCCATTTTCTGTATTTAAGGGAACACAGTCATTTCAGGCAAAGTTGTGTAAATAAAACCAATGACGAGTTGACATCTTACTGTCACCCTGAAGCAAAGGATAGTATGTAAAAGGTGCTGACTCCTTATCATCATTTCTGCAATCAAGGCTTCTTGTTCGTGTAGATGGGAGTGAATTACTTTGATTCTTTGATTGGCAGACTGATTAATTCATTTCATGCTACCAAAAATAAATTGCCTGTAATTTAATTTTGTGGATCTTACTACATTTGCCTTATTTTTACTTTTCTGTGTTAATAACAGTCATTACCTGTTCTGTTTATATCATTCTTTACCATGAGGAACTCAGGTCTCTTTATAGAGGCTCTTTAATTAAATCCCCGTTCTCCTCCTGCTGAGGATTTTAGACACAGGATATTGGTTCATTTTTTCAGATGGGAGAAACTGAGGCATAGCAGGTTAAGCTGACGTTATTTATGACATCTGAGTGGCTAGAGACCGAGCTCTACCTTGCCATGCCCAGGTGGCTGTTGTAAAGGGCGTGGGGGACCCAGCTGTGGCTGGTGTGTGATTTCACACATAACAGGCTCGAAAGCTCAGGGCGTGAGTGTGTGTTTCTCTTTTCAGTTTAAGGTGTACATACAGGACCTCACGTTCAAAACAGATCTGCTAGTAATTGTCCTTTTCCTTGAACTTTTTTCAGTGAAACTATTCAGTATAAGAGATGGAGTTGCATTTTTGGTTTGGTGCTTTTTTTTTTCTTTCTTTCTACTATGAATTGAAGTTTCATAACATTGCCTTTAAGAAAAAAAACAAGTAGGTCTATTTCGGGGACAAGATCTCATTTAGGAAAGCATGTCCCTGCTTCCCCATTACCCAGGACGCACTGCTTTGCATGACCATCATTGATACTAAGTGAACAGGTGACACCTGCCTCTAGTTTAGGCCCGGATTTCTAAAGTATCGCTCACTTGTTGAAGGACTGCAGCATCAGAGTAGGTAGTGCTGGCCTGGCCTGCGTTTAAGTTACCCATGCTGCCTTGTGTTTAATATTGGTTATTAAAATGAGCCAACTGGAAACTGAATACACTAGCCTACTGGGGCTGAGAGTCCAAGGATCTTAATTTATTTGCGGTCATTTTTAGCTTTTAAGGCTTAAACGTATGTTACACTTAATATCGACTTTGATACAATTCCAATTCTTTTTAACAATGAAAAATATCATATCCCACTATGAGGGATTCCCTCCCTGAAGGAGCAGCCCAGGATGCTTAGAGGATTTTTATGTATCGAGAACATTTCAAATTTAACATCTAATGTTGGCAGAATATTTGAAACTGCTGTAGCCTTGGTATGAATAGCGCCTTCCCTTACTGGTGCTTTTACCCGCTTGCATTTACGTGCTGTTCAGCTGTGATGTTTGTTTTCATCTGGCTTCTCTGCTGGTTCATTGCCTCGATGCATGAAGCACTAAGGCCAGAAGGAAAGTTGAATAAATAGGTCTTTTCTGTCTTTCACACTCCGCAGAACAAAAACCGCTCACTCTCTAAACAAGTAACCTGGTTGTCAGGTTTGTGTTTTGTTTTGTTTTACAATCACGGCAGCTGTGTGCTCTTTACAGGACTGCTTCTGTGTAAATTGTAGGGAGAGCCATTCACCGGGTCTTAATTATGGGCTTCCTTCTCAGCACGGGCAGACTTCCCCCATCCGATTCTGAGGTCCGGAGTGCACTCCTTTGCCTCGGTCCCCCTGGATTCTGCAGGCTAACAGAGCACTGTCCGTACTGCAGAGGGCAGCTGCACTCCTTTGTCTGAGCTTTAACAGAGCAGAACTTGCCCGGAACAAAGGGAAGCAGCGGGGGCCTGCAGGGTGGAGGTGGGCGCTCCTGTGGGAACCTAAGTAGAAGCTGTGTCTGTGTCCTGGGGCCACGAGGACATCCCTCGCAGGCCCCACCCTTCTGGCTGGAGTCGGGGGAGCTGCGAGAGGAGCCATCTTTAGCATCTTTAGCCCCGATGGCGTCCCGAGCCACCTCCGAGCTGTCGTTTAAGACGAAAGCACCTACGAATGGATGCTGCATTGGTCCAGGAAGTTTAAATTCTGCTGTGCCGTGCATAGGAGTCCATGTGTCTCTCACCTGCGACTTTGCTGCTTGTCACTCCTTTCACCGAATTAGGCCAGCACAAACGTCCGTATTATAAAACTGGCCGTGTATGAACAGGCATCTGTCACACGTGTACTCGCAGGCTGTCGCTGCCCTCTCCCCTTCCAGAAACACAAGTGTAATTGGCGTGTGCCGTCACTGTAGGCCGAGTGCGGTTCTAGTTTCAGAGGCAGTTTTGAAGCTGTGCGCATATGTGGCCTTCTTTGAATGTGTTTAAACCATTGCTCGCTGCACTTGGACTGCTGTAACAAAATACTGCAACTGTGTGGCTTGAACAAGGCAGCTTTATTTTTCAAGGATCTGGAGGCTGGAAGATGAAGATAAGGTGTGGGCAGGGCTGGTTTCTTCAGACACCTCTCACCTTGGTGTGCAGATGCCGTCCTCTCCCTGTGCTCTTTCCTCTGTGTCCTTTCTCTGTGTGTCCACGTTTCTCTGTGTGATAAGGAGACTGCTCGGGTTGGGACACACTCACACGGCCTCATTTTACCTTAACTACCTCTCGAAAGATGCTGTCTCCAGAGTCACATCGTGACGTACTAGGGGGTCGCTGTATGAATCTGGGGGACACTGTGTTATGTCCGTAACGCATAACAGGGACATGGTTTTACTTGGAGGAGAAAGGCAGTGTGAATGAGGGAGTCTGCACGCTGTGGCGTGGGCGGCCCATCTTCCCCTTGCACCTGCTAACCAGCAGGCTGTGGTAAGAAGAAAACACGTTCTGGTCCAGTGTCGCAGCCTTAGGCAGGACACTCGGTGACATGGTTTAGCCGCTCGGAAGGGAGACCAGCTTGGGTGGTCAGAGAGCAGCCGTGGGACGAGCGGCCGCATCGGATGGCCCTCGGTCAGAGCCCACTGGCGGTCAGTCACCTGGGTGTTAACAACTGAACAGGTTCAGCTCCTTGTGGTGGCCCGATGCAGAGTGAGGGAGCAAGGGTTTCTGTGGGTATTCTGAGGTGAAGGCCCTGGTGGATGTGGCACTTGGCAGGGGTAGGGGCCTCTTCTGGGCTCGGAGATGACACCTTCCCACTGTTTTCCCACATGCAGAGGAGAGAGCGAGAGGATTCCTTTCGTGAGGGTTCTACCCCAGTGCCCCAGTCACCTCCCACTTCCATCATGTTAGGAGTTAGGATTTCAGCATACGAATTGGGGGGGCTTATATGTATATCTCCCCAATAGGTAAGAAGCTAAATGCTTGTAACGTAAAGCCACCCAAAAAGATATCTGGGCCGGGGAATTTAGCTCGGTGGTTCCACCGCCTGCCTTGCAAGCACAAGGTCCCAAGTTTGATCCCCGGTACCAAAAAAAAAGATGTCATGCTAAAAAGAGATGGATTTGGACAAAATGAGCAGACAGTTATTTTCTTCTTTCCTGTCCGTGTGCTTAATTATCTCAGTTTTCATGGGGTGTTGGGGACAGAACAGGGATTTGGGCATTAGTAATAAAAACAGCTAGCTTTGTAATCGTCTACTTTTCTCTGCTGAGTTCTTTAATTGTTTTTCCTTCTGTGATATTTTAATGATGTATCTGCTTATTATCTCCCATCCTTCAAGTCTTTTCTTACAGGATAGGGAATTAAGACACAAGGTCCCCTGTAACAAAAGTTCTGGTGGGTGATTTTTTAAATCCCTAAATCCCTTTCCCTTCTATCTCCAGGTGGAAGATAGGATAGATGTCCAGGCTCTGAACAAAGATGTCCACTTGCTGGTGAGCAAATTGTCATCTCTATTTTCAGGTTCACTACAACATTGGCAAAAACCTGGCTGATAAAGGCAACCAAACAGCAGCCATCCGATATTACCGGGAAGCAGTAAGGTACCTACCATGCACGGTCTCGTAGAAACAGTGCCATGAATATGCACGTACAGTTTTCATGCTCTCAGATTACAAGCCTGTGCCCTTCATGACCCCAACTTTGAGACATCAGTTTCTGAAAGTTTAGGGAAACTACTGAATTATATATAACTGTCGGGTTGGTTTGTCTCTTAACTTCCAGATTAAATCCCAAGTATGTTCATGCCATGAATAATCTTGGAAATATCTTAAAAGAAAGGAATGAGCTACAAGAAGCAGAAGAGCTGCTGTCTTTGGCTGTTCAAATACAGTAAGCACTGTTTTTAGAGTTATGCTGGGAACAAAGAAATAAGGCTTAAGCCTTACTTTTTCTTGTCTATCATTTTAAAAAATGCTCTTCAAGGCCAGACTTTGCTGCTGCATGGATGAATCTGGGCATAGTGCAGAACAGCCTGAAACGCTTCGAGGCAGCAGAGCAGAGTTACCGGACAGCCATCAAACACAGAAGAAAGTACCCAGACTGCTACTACAACCTTGGGCGACTGGTAAGGTCAGGTGCCCCGGCCATTCGGGAGGAAAGACAGCGTTCCCCTTTAATGAGGATAAAATAATAGTGGTAATACCTATCCAGCACTGCCTGCTTTATAAAGTGTTTTCACATATACATATCTCATTTTAAGGGTAGCTATTTAATTTCCTTACATGTAATGTGGAAGCTCAAAATTATTCTAACTTGAATTAGTCTCTTAACTTCCGTAAGTTGAGTTTAAGAATTCACCAAGATAATAAACTAAAAAGTTAATTAAAACTTTTAAAATTTCTTTTGCCCTGAAAATCAATACTTAAGGGGGTAACTTCCTGATAAATGTCACTCTCTGATTTTAAAACATGAATTAAATAGAAAGAGATCTCAAAGCCAACCTACAGTATGATTTCTCAGCTTCCTTGTCCACCTTCCTCTGGGGACCAGATCTCTCAACTACAAGGGGAATCATCCCCAAAAGTCAGTGCCAGGAGTCGAGGCACTCATTTGAAAGGGCTTTGACATCATCTGATGGAAATAGAAAACAGTGTGCTTCATAATAGCTTTACACTTTTTGTTGTTAGTAGAATGTTCGTGAAGATCTGCTTGCTCTTGGTTTCCTTGGCAAAGAAAATGAGACGCAAATAGTAAAATCCTCCCCTCAGTCAACTCTTTAATTTGGTTTCAAGAAACCAAATATATGTTCCTAATATATTTAAATTTATTTCATGAAATTGTTATGGGAAAAAAAGTTGACTCCTCTAAGCCAAACTGGAAAGTACTAAACATAGTAATGTGGCTTTTAAAAAAGAACTTTATATATAATTTTCCAGATTTTACTAAGCTTAGCCTCACAAGTGGGATAACATTCATGTGTTCTAAAGAAATGCCTGTTTGCCTTATTTTAACCTCCTGAAGTTTCTGTTTTGTGGGGTCCTTGTGAATCAAAACCAATAGTTTCCATAACTGATTGTACATCCAAAAAAACTCCACCCCTCAAAGATTTAGGGAGTCAGAAGCTCCACAGAGAACCTATATTTTAAAAATAATAACTTCCCCCACATAACTCCAGGACCCTGTGACTGGCCTTGCATCTGGGAGGCAGCTCAGTCTGAACTTTGACCTGGAAGTCAGTCACATCAGAGCAGAAAGGCCTATGTGGGAGAGTAACCCAGAAAACATTAACTACTTTAAATGTATTGGAATCACAGCTTCTGTCTTTACCGTGGTGTGCATGCCTTTGATCTTCACATCTTCGTTTACAGAATGGGTAGCCATGGTTTTGTGAGCTGTGGAGATAGAATTTTATGAAAGGAGGGAATAAGATGGTGGGACACGTGGTTATCAAATGATGAAGACTGACCTTTCCCAGGCTGCATAAGTCACTTTTAAGGGTATGGGTAATGCTGTGTTATAAAATTAAAGTGAAGTGATTTGTGTGTTTATTTGAAAAATACAAAGCATGTTTTAGTTGAGAGATGCCATTTGAAGACACCATTTCTTTGGGCCTGCTGCAGTGTGGAAAGCAGAGTTCTTTCTTCCCCAGCACTGACAAGGGCAGCAGCTATGTGACTGGCCCTCTAGCAGAACAAGCAGTTAGAGCAAGGAAGGTGCAGCAGTACAAGATTCCTGTTGCCCACATCAACTTTCTGCAGAAACATTGGGCCTTGCATACATTTCTCTTTTCATTTATATTTCAAAATTCTTTGCTTTAAGATATAGTTTCATACTTGGATGCAGAAACAGCTTTCTCTGTGAAGCCAGAAGACTAGAGAGAAGCTAAAGCTGTTCTCACAATAAGCTCTCTGGGGGAGAAGGCAGTAAAACCTCAGACAATTCCTTGGGATTTGGAAAATAGAAAATTGATGCTAAATGAAACTTCTGTGAGAGTTGCATCCGAAGAAAGGAACTCAAATGTAAAATAACAGCTTTATTGTGCACGCCACTCCTGGGATTCATTACTCGTTCACTTGGAAGCTCAGTCTGTAACACTGAACAGATTGGGGCCTTGGTGTTGTTTACTAATCATGCTACCCTGAATTAGTGTTTGATGGCCCCTTCCACCTGTCCTTTCTGCTCATTTAAGGCTTTTGCTCTCCATTGTGGTTTAATTATCCAGCTTTTGCCCACTTGACAGCTTAAAAGCCTTAAAAGCTTAGTCTTTAACAGCTCAACCAACCCATTTATATATTGGCAAATAAGAGGAACTTAATGGCTTCAAGGTGTCTTTTTTAGAAGTCACGTGGTTGTAATAGGAGATAGAAATTTGTTTTGATTTCTGGACCCCTGATAAGAAGGTAATATAGTGCAGTTCTCTCGTGAAACAGGAAATTAGGAAGAGCTGGATTACTGGGGCCATATTGGTGGTCCTAGAGAGTTATGGTAAAAATTGTTGGTGGTATTACTGGAGACAGGTCGTTATACAGGAGCTGATGTGTCAGTCAGGATGTGTAGAAGAGAAGAAAAATCGTGGCGAGTATTTTAACTTACAGGTTTAACACTGGAAACTGGTCACACAATTGTAAGAATAAAATGGTAAGGGAATAGTAGCACGGAGGTTAATAACTAACGGAAACCCCATAAGAATGGGAAGCAAAGGGAGGAAGGGCTGATACCAGAGCTGAAGAGGTGTCCGTCGAAAGAGCTGTCACACCCGAGAGCCAAGGACGTGGTGAGGGACCACTGCTCTAGCCCCACAACTGTGGAGAGGGGACAGAGTTCCTTCAGAGACAGCCAGAGGAAGGAGGAGACTGAGGCTGGGCCAGGGTTCTGCTCCTCTCTCCTGCACATCTGAACCTGCGACACTTAGCAGAGACTTAACAAGGAACCAAGTGGCAAAGGAACCTGGGAATTGTAGTTTGCATACTCCCAGTCCCACACCCCAAAGCAGGGTATGAAAGGGTGGGAAAAGGACTAATGGGCAAATAACTTGACCACTACCCTTCTGCTCTGTGCTGGGTAGTTCTTGTTAAATCACCATTTTTCTCTTGTTTCCTATAAAGTGTTTATTCATTTTGTATAAAAAAATGAACATCTGTTACTTGGTTAGACCTGTTGTTGTTCTGTGATAAATAATAATAACAAATAGCCATAAAATGAAAAATACATGAAGAGTTTTATTGTGTTGTATAAATGGACTTACCCTGGTTGTCATGAGTGTGTTAGAATGTCACCACAGATTTTGTCTGAGTGACTCAAATGTGTATCCCTTGCTGGCAAAACTGACTTGAACAGTTACTGAGATATCCAGTAAAGAGACACAATTAAGTATTGCTGTAATTAAGCATTCAAATTATTTTGATTGTTTTGAACTTTTTATATCTTTAACGATGCTAAAAGATAAAATATTTTAAGCTGATTCTCTGAGTCTGATGGAGAATTTGAACATTTTAGCAGTGGATATTCATAAGTGTTTCCAGAATTCATTAACCCTTTTTTGCACACTCTGCCATCTGTTTCCTGTGTGGGACTTGGAACAAATCAGAACATTTCTGTTATCTGTTAAAAATGTATCATTGACAGGAAGGAAGAAAGCAGCCTTAAACTGATAAATCGCCATCACTTGTACTTTTCGCAGAGTTAAAGGGACGAAGTACTTTCCGTTGAAATGTGCATTTGAACTGAGTTCAGAGGGCTAGAGGATCACTGAAAGAATCCACCGCTTCACCCTCTGTGGCTTTTAACCACGCAGATAGAAAGCCAGCACTTTGTGTTGTTATCGGTGCTAAACAAAATCCCTTCTCAAAAGAAAGCAGTGGATAATCTCTCTTCCCTGAATGAGGCAAACCAGCCTCCAAACTGTGGAGAGATCTTACGGGACCATGGGAGAATTTTCGCGGGGTGTGTAAAGTAGGTCTGCTGTACACATGTTTTCATAGTATTAGGTCTTGATGTAGACAGGAAGAGATCCTCGATCGTTCTTCGCATGGTGAATTGGACATGTGCGGCTTTTATCACATAAAATATTTATTATTTTATGCTATTAATGATGATATGGAGACTTTGTAGAAAAAGAATAATGAATAATTCTTTTTCGGCCTGAAATACAATTTGATATCTGGAGTCACCAAATAATAGGTTATCTAGTTAAAATATCTCAGGCTTGAGACCTGTACCCCCAGGCTGTCATGCCAGATTCTCCATTTCTGGGGCAGGTTACTAATGTCCTTGAGCCTTAGTTCCTCTGTCTGTAAAATGGGGACGCTAAGTAACACCCACTTCCTCGCGTTTGTTTTGAAAGGGAATGGGTTGATACGGAAAATTAGATCCGTAAAGAAGTCTTAAGTTGTCTTTTCATTTTTCTGGGTTTTTGTTTGTAATACCTTAAGACAGCAAAAAAGCACAAAAATTGGAACATTGATTTGGGGGGGTTGTTTTCAGTATGCAGATCTGAACCGCCACGTGGACGCTTTGAACGCGTGGAGAAATGCTACCGTGCTGAAGCCCGAGCACAGCCTAGCTTGGAACAACATGATCATCCTCCTGGACAACACCGGTGCAGAGGGGCAGGGCGGGAATCGGGAAATGGGGCCCAGCACAGTTCTGTTGAAAATTGGGAGACACAGAGTAAGGGCCCTCTCCCGAGTTTAAAAATAAATAAGCATGGGCCACATCTTAGGTGCTGTAGCACCCATTCCTCTAGAAAGTGAGGCGTCCTTGAGTATATCAGGATCCAGACATTATGGAAGTGATGCCGAATTTAAAATCCGTGTGGTAGCGTGAAGGGCGTAGTGTGGTTATTTCTCCTTTATTCCAAGGCCTGTGCCAGCCACAGCCTCACCCAGAATGCTAGGGCCCCGGACGGCAGCAGAAGCGCCTTGGGCTTAGGGTTGGGAGGTGCAGGCCAACATCCCGAGGGTATGGTCTGCCTACACCGGGGTGTTGGCCTCTGCTCTGCGCTGTCAGCCCTGGATTCTTATTTGCAATGCAATGCTAATGACTTGGTGATTTGTTTCCCTAGCCGAGCACTAGCTCCAACCAATCAGAAGTTATTTTTGCAACCCTTATTTATAAAAAAAAAAAAACCCAAACCCGACCATCCTTTCAGAAATCATGGTGCTAATTTGTCCTGGTTTAAAGGCAGCAAGCCATCCAACCAGAGTGAGGAAGTAGCGGGCTCTCGCTTCTAAGGAAAATACAGCGCACGCACCTCCACAGAAGAAATAGTCAGAAATTAGAAGTGGTTATTGTGATGCCCTCATTTTGCAGACTTCTTTTCTCCAGTCCATGTACAGCCGGTAGCTGGGGGAAATTAAAACTAGGTATTACGTGACTTTACAGAATTGAGTCAGAAGCTGTGTGCGCTCCGTCTGAACTGTGCTGAGTCGCTGTGACCCTGTGTGCGCATGTGTGCGTGTTACAGCTTCCGTGTGGATTTTATGATGATTGTGTACGATGCCTGCAAGCCCCGCTGGTCAGAGAGAGGCAAAAGCACAAGTACAACGCCAGCATGGTTTTTAGTTTTGCTTCTTTCCTTTCAAGGTAATTTAGCCCAAGCTGAAGCAGTCGGAAGAGAGGCACTGGAGTTAATACCAAATGATCACTCTCTTATGTTCTCCTTGGCAAACGTGCTGGGGAAATCCCAGAAATACAAGGTATGTAAAGCGCAGACCGTGATTTCTTGCACTGATTGCCAGCAGCTGACAGAAGGCATCCGTGTTACCACTGCACCATCTCCTGCGGATTAGGCCGGAACTGTGGAGCGGTGCACCGGGTGGCCTGGTCCCTTTGTTTCTGGGGGAAATCGCCCAAAAGTTGGGCGTGTGGGGCCAAACCCAGTGTCATCTTGACAGAGCTCAGCTGTCACTCACGCGGGAAGGGGAAGAGGTGTGGCAAGTCCTCAGGGCCCCTCAGTGCAGGGACGGCTCCTCCCCTCATGCCCGGTCCCACCCCGCAGGAAGTGGGCGGGAGCTCTGGGTATGTGTGTGGGGTTGTGGTCTGCACCAAAGAAAAACTAGCCGGGGTGTGTGGTGCACAGCTATAATCCCAATGTTCCAGGGACTGAGGCAGGTGGACCACTGCAAGTTCAAGGCCAGCCTGGGCTATAGTGAGACCCGATCTCAAAGAGGGGAGGGAGGAAGGGAAGGGAGAGGAGTGAGAAAGACCAGCCCATGGGGGATGTGACTGGCTCTTGCCGCTTGTGGGGTCTTTCCTCCTTGGAGTTACAGGCCATGACAAGACCTCGGAAATGTCTAAACACCAGAAGACACACACAGCAAATCTCTTCAGGGCCACCCAGGCTTGGTGAGGATTGGCCTGGGCTCTTCTGTTTTGAAGGGGAGTTAGGTCCTAATACTGGTGATCTCAGACCCTGGTGCTGTGTATCGGTCACCAAGGGAGGCCCCATGGGGACGTCTCAGGGATTGGTCGCGCCAGGGAGCCTGCAGTTCTGCCCAGCATGCCTGGCCTGTGACAGACGTTCAGGGCACAACCTCGGAAGCAGTGCCTTGCCCTTGTGACGGAGAAATATCTTATTTCACGAAAAGGAGCTGTGTTATTTTGACCACTCTGAGTCTACATAAGAGACCAAAGGCCTAAAGGTAGCAAGTAATTAATAGCTATTGACATTTGCCCTGAGTTTCTTACTTCTCCATTTCTGTTGATTAGATGTCATTGTTGATACAATTTTCTCCTCTCTCTCTTTCTCTCTCGTTTCTTTTCAATACTGGGGCCTTCACACTGAGCTGTGTGCACCGCCCTCCTTCTGAATGTCAGGGAGTTTAGTAGCTTCATTAGACATCTTTTTTTAGCATTTCCAGATTGGCTTCAAAGATTGCTTTTTAAGAGGTTTCACTTTACTTTTTTATTCACATTTCCCTCCTGATGACTTTCGGGCCGCTGTCCCCCTGGCCCAGATCAGGAGTCTGGGTTCTCCTCTGACCCAGCCTCCCTGAGTTTTCAGGATGGAGCTCTACGCTCATTGTATTGATTTTTCTATCACCCTGCATCCTGCAGACTGGAACTTCCATTAAGGGACCGAACCCAGGGTTCATTGGCTTCTAGTGCACACTGCCCCTTATTCTAGATAAAGTAGGAAATACCGCATGAAGCAGAATAGTTTCCCGTTTCTCTACACATTTTATCATCCCGATTGTCAGGGTCAGAGTGCTGAGCCTAAGATGAGGAAACAATAAAATCAGAGGTACCAGGTTCACTATGAACCTTTGGACAGCTACCAAGTGGGGAGCAGCAGTAACTCCTGAAGCCACAGTCACCTACCAAGCCAGCATTTAACACATTTTATTTTAAGTTAAGAATGTGGAGTGCTTGTTGCTCTTGCTCAGCTGTGTGCTGTTTTCAGGGTTTTCAGCCTGAGGATGTCTCCCTGTGGGACCGTGGTGGCTGCTGAGAAGGGTGCACACCCTCCAGACCGGCCTCTGCTTTCAGGATGGCTTACTCCTCACCGAACCACTAGCTGCCTCATATTATCATTTGCCTGCTTGGCTTCCTTGATGGGGACGCTGAAGCCTGCTGTCCTCTATTACGTCTCCGCTGCTGTCCAGGGTGCTGACAGCCAGTTAGGCACCTGCATTGAACTGGAACCCGGAGGCTTTCCACGGCCTGTTCACTCAGCTGAATTTCTGGTTTTTTCCGCGTCTTTTTACTTGATATGTTTCTTTGAATAGATTTCCAGTGTAGGTGACTGTTTAAAATGTAAACATCAGATCATTATTGTAAATGCAAAATAACTGAAATTGCTGCAGTTTTCCTCAGCCTCCGCTATGTGTTGTTGCTGGCTGTGAGGCTCTAGACCTGAGGGCACTGTCTTAGCTTCACAGGGAGACTGGCAGGGGTCAGCAGGTGTGACCGGCGAGCCACCCCCTAGCGCGGAGGGAGGGAGGAGGCAGAGGAGGGGAACTGCACAGAGATGCCAGTCCTGCTGCATAGTCGGCTTCATACCAGACCACCTCGCTCACCTTCCCCGATGGGAGCAGGACATGGGTGGCCCTGGCAACACGCCATCGGCGGGCACAGATTCCAGCTAAGGGTTCGCCACTGCTCTGTTCACTCCCTCATCTGCAGTGGCTGAAGTCTCAGGACTACAGCCATTTCCGGGAGGCAGTGGCTGAGCTCATGGCAAACTCACCCGAGTCCTGTGGTCACTGTCGCAGCCACACAGGGTCCTCGCTGGCTTTTCAGAGCTTGTTTCCAGAACCGTGCGGCAGTACAAACCAGGGATGTTAAAAGTTTGAAAACCACAGGCGGTGAAGCTGAATCGTTTTTGCTTCATGTACACTTCTTCCTTTTCGGTGTGTTTTATTTTTTAGGAATCTGAAGCTTTATTCCTCAAGGCAATTAAAGCAAATCCAAATGTTGCAAGTTACCATGGGAATTTAGGTAAGGAAGGTTTCCAATCTGAATCTTGAAATTCTGTGTACTTACAATGAAATAGCCATATTTCTGTGACATCAGTGTTAGGAGAGTCATGGTGTTTTCCTCAACGCTAGCCTGTCTATCACAATCTGGCACCGAAACGCAATCTTATTATAACATTCCAGAGACAGTTACAGATTGCAGTCACGTGGCCAGGACCGTGCAGAACTGTCAGGGCTGTGGCTGAGTTTGCCACATGTTAGGGTCAGAAGTCGGGCCTTGCTCCTGTGGGTGAGACCCTAGGACAGTAAGCTTCCTGTCAAGGCACCTCCTGTGCCCTCCTCCTCCCACCACAGCCCTGCTCTCCAGCCTGGCCCCTTCTGCTGTGTTCGCTTGTGCCTCAGCCAAAACTGCACTCACAGCTGTTTATTCCCAGAAGTCCCTCTGCCACTCTGCCGGCCACTGAAGACGTGGGGCATAGCTTGCCGGTATTTGAAATGCTCGGGCTGTGAGTGTTTTTCTTCACCAGCTCTCTTTGCTGCCCCCAGAACTGCTCACTTCTCTCACAAAAGTCACAAAAAAATTAATAGTTCTTTTCCTGGCCCTGTAGAAAGTTAGTTTACTTACAGAGTCATCGTTAACAGTCAGGCTTCTCAGGTTAATGATTAAGCTTAACTATCGTGACAGTCGGGTCTTCATGTTAGAACCCTCATTTTCAACTAGCAGTACATAGCTGTTACTTTGCTGAATGGCATGGGGAAATCTTCATTCAGGATAAACGACTGCCAGCCATGGTGGCGCACACCTCTAAACCAAGTAATCTGGGAGGCTGAGACAGGAGGATTGCAAGTTCAAGCCCAGCCGAGTCCCTGTCTCAGTAATTTTAAAAGGCTGGGAATGTAGCTGGGTGTGAAGGCCCTGAGTTCAGTTCCCAAATAAATAAATGAACAGTAGGCTTTTCTTTATACAAGGCTGGATGGGGGCATAGCCAGAGCTCTAGGCGGTACCTGAGCCCCATCTTACCCAGCCTGGCTCCCTGGAAATTT